AATTACAGGGTGGCAGCTCGATGGACGAGATGCTGATCCGCAGTGGAGATGGGTTGTTTGTGTTTATGTGTTTTGCGCTTCGCTTGCCGTGTCGGGGTCCGCGTGGACTGGGGGGTGCACCAATTGGTTAGCGCCTGCGGAGCTTGGTGTATTCTGATCTCTGCCGCGTGGCCTGCGCCCTGCTCCGGGAGTGGAGTGAAGTGGTGGCGGGTGGTGTGGTGCTCCCCCCCCTCGGCACTGTCGGCGGCTGGCCGCTGTGGCTGAGGGCTGGGCTCTTTGCATCAGTGGCCCGAGGCAGCGCAGAGGAGGCGTGGGGATCCTGCGAGGGTGCGCGCTTGCAGCGCGTGTTCGCCGCGCTCGGAGACCACCGCGTCCAGCTGGACACTGTTCGGGGGGGTCGGGTGGAAGCGGAGGAGTAGCTGGCGGCTTCATTGGCTGTGCCTTGCGCGTCCGCCTGGCCAGACGTTTCCAGTTAACATGTCGGTTGGGAACGCCTCGTTGGGTGCCGAGTGGTCCAGCTGCGCGTGGGACGAAGACGAAGGTTGGTAGCAGAGTGACGTTCAAGGTGTGTGTCGGCGGGGCGGGCCGGCAGACCGGAGTTGGTGGGACGGTGGTGGGGGGGTGATGGTTGGGCCGCAGTCTGGACGCAGAGGGCAGGGCGAGCGCAGGGGAGGACTGGAGCGTGTGTGTGCGTGCGGTTGCGTTGTGGGAGGCGATTTATCTGCGGCGTGTGTCCAGGCAGGCGCGCAGATGTGGTGTGGAGTGCACCGTGTATACGGGCAGGGTGGTTGGAGGTTCTTACGGCTGGTGTGCGAGGCCGGGTTTGTGGCTTCGAGGCTCTGCTGAGAGAGGTGATGGGAGTGGTCGCTGGCTTGCGCATGATTGGGTTGGGGGGTTGGTTTGGGCGGGAGAATAGGGAGCTGGGGAGCGAGGCAGACCGGAAGTCAGTTTGGTGGGACGGCTGCACAGAAAGCACATGAGCGTGGGTCTCCTGATGGCTGGGCCTTGCAGGTACGTGGTGGTTTGGTGGGGGAGGGTTGCCGGCGCACGATTAGGGGGGTGCACCGTGTGCAGGCCAGCAGGGACGTGGGGGCGAGCGCACGTGCGCTGGGGTCAGGGCCGCTGCAGTACGTGGGGTGGCGCGGCAGCTCTGGAGCATGCGCGTGAGGAAGGGGGCGCGGCACGGTGTCGCGGGGCATGTGGCTTGGGAGGACGTGGGGGCGCGCCGAGCCCTGTGTGATGTCGGGCAGGCCTGCTATGGGTGGAGAGTGGGTGGGGTGCGCGCACCCTGGGCGAGAGGCTGCGGATGTGACGGTGGGGGAGGGGGGGACCTGGGCAGGGCTGCAGGACGGTGGGGCGGCGACCCCGGGCAGTGTGGCCCAGTTTGTCGAGTGCGTTGGTGGGCACATCCTCGGGCAGGTGCCTGGCAGGACATGTAGGGGGGGTCGCGTGCACCCGGGCAGCCCAGCAGGACGTGGTGGGCGCGCACCCCGGGCAGGCTGCAGGGACGTGTGGTGTGCGGCTGCGACCCCGGGGCGTTAGACCTGATGGGGGAGACGTGGGAGGCGGCGGACCGCCTGGGCAAGGTAGGCCCTCTTTGGCAGAACGTGATGGGGCGGAGACCCTGGCAGTGTCTGCAGGACGGGCGCGCACCGGGCAGGACCAGAGGACGTGGGGCGGTCTGCCGGCACAGCCGCGACACGCCTTGACCTGCCGGCACAGCCGCGACACGCCTTGACCTGCCGGCACAGCCGCGACACGCCTTGACGCTCACGTGGCACTCGCCCGTCCGGGCTGGGGACATGGGCCCCACGCGGGAGCCGCTGGTTAAACTGGGAAAGCTCTGCGCACGGCGGACGCCACGAAGGCCAGCCTGGAGCCGGCCAGTCTCCTGCTCCCGAGAGGCCGGAGGGACGCGGTGGCTGGGGCGGGGCGAGGTGCCCAGCGGCCTGTGGGTCCCCAAGCCTCTGTGCGCTGCCTCGGGGCAGCCTGAGTGCAGGGAGCGCCGAGCCCTCCAGCAAGCCCGGAGAGGGGGAGCAGGGCGCAGGCAGGGAGGGATCGAGGCTCAGGGGGAATGGTGGCGTCAGAGGAGAGGCAGAGAGAGCAAAAAAATAAACAGCAAATTACCGGGTAGCCATCTCGTCCTGGTTGCCCCTGTGGTAATTAATACGTCGTTAATTAATAATCAGACTTTCTGCAGAAACCCATATGGCATCACTTAGCACTGGATCGGCCCGGCCACCCCCAGGTCCCGGGGCTCTGGGCACGGAGCTCCCTCTCCCGCCGGGACAGGACGGGACCAGGGACTGAACTGGTCCTCCAGTCGGGCCTGCGCAGGGGCCTGGGGAAGATCCTCCTTCCCTCCCAGCTGTCCCCGGGACGGGCGGACCCGGAAAGAGCCTCAGAAGCTGGAGCTAAGGGGCGTTTACTGCTCCCGGACGCTTCTGGGCCCCCGACATGGGCCAGGCCTGGTTGGAGCCCTGGGCGCCAGCCCCTGCCCCCCACGCCCCTCTCAGGTTGCAGCTCCAGGACGTCTGTGTTTGTCTAATACCTTTAACATTTTAACAGTCAAGTTAAAAAACAAAAACCAAAACCCTGCAAGGCCCTGTGTGCTACGTCCTCCCGCGGGTGCACACGAGCTGGCCTCCCAGGCGCAGCCGGGAACAGCCTGGCTGCGAGGCACCGCCGTGGCCGATGCATCTACACGTTTCCGCTGGCTTGCTTTTTGGCTCAGCGTGCGGCTACACGCACGGAGCAGCCCAGATGCCGGAAGGTACTGATCGGGAAATGAATCATGGTAAGTGGAAGTCAAAAACACAATGGCTCATCTGAAAGGAATTTCTTGAGAAGGTTGGTTTTGGCCCAGGCCGGCTGTCAATGTGCTTCTTGAATGGATTAGGGGATTTACTGGGCCCTGAACAACAGCCAAGAGGAGTCAGAGGCAGACGGATCCCGGGCCCTGGAGAATGAATATGGGATCTCCAGGGCTGCTCGGAGTCCCCGCGCTCAAAGCTGCCTCTGGTGGCCACGGGGAGCTCGGGGGAGCCGCCCAGGGCTGCCCCTCGCACGCTTTGCAAATGCATCGATATTCCCGTCTGCTCCGTTGCACACCCTCGCCAGCCAGCTGCACTCACGAGGTCTCAGCTGTCCCATGCATCCTCTGGCAAACGAGAAAGATGGCCCCAGGGTCTGCTGATCAAGCCCAACCTATTCCTGGAACAAGTGCCTCACTCTAGCGCCCTTTCTGCCAACGTATTTGAGACAAAAGCGTTTGAAAATGCCAGTTGCCACAGAGCGTTTCAAAGCCACAGGCATGGTGCTTGCATCCTGCCCACCAAGCTGAGCCAAGCCTTGGTGAGGCGCAGCCAGGCGAGGGCCAGCTCTCTTGGAAGGGAAACGGTCCCAGAATGTTTCGGGGCAAGTCAAGCCCGTGGAACTCACTGCTTGCACTCACCTACAAATTGGAAAATAATGTGGCCCCTGTCTAAGACTGATTTTTTTTTTTTAAGGACACACCCCTCTAACCAAACATTATTTTCACCGAAGCACTGCAGAGAAAATACCAAATGTCTTATCTTTCGGGAGCAGAGAGCGCAGTCCAGGACACTTACCGGAGGACCTGCAAGACACAAGCAGAGAAGCCACAGTTAGCGTTGAAGAGGGGAGAGGGTCCCCAACTGTCCTCAGCACAGCCACTGGCCACCTCTCCTCACAAGGGTCTGACACTGTCATGGCTGTTTCCTGCCACAGCCTTGCAAAGAAGTGTCAGTCCCAAAGCCAAGGGTGGAGAGCAAGGAGCACCTCTGCCCTTGGAGGGGCCGGGGGTCACGTGAGTGGCAGTGACAGCCCCACGTGTGTTGGCCCATGCACTCATTTCTCGAGGCTGCTTGGTGCTCGCCTGTTTTGGGTTCTGGCAACCCAAGCAGGAATCAGAGCTTGTTCCTTCTTGAAGAGCAGCTAGGAGAAGTGGAGGGAGGGCCAGGGAGAAGGCTGGGCCAGCTCAGCGGGGGAGGGTTCGTTCCCACGGACTCGGAGAGACGCAGGGGGGCAAGCGTTGCGGGCAGAGGGAAGAATGCAGGCCAGGGCACGCAGGTGTGTGCAGCCCGAGCAGATGTTGGGGTGCCAAGGCCCAGCCTGGGGGCAGGTGTGCACGGGAAGTGGCAGGGGCGAGCCTGGAGGTGAGGGCTGGTGCTGCCGCCGGGACTGTCCCAGCGGACGGGGGCTCACGGAGAGCGCTTGCAAGAAACCGACAGGGGCTGCACCTTGCACTTTGCAAAGGGTGTTGCATTACCCGTTATTGCATTTGACCTTCCCAACGACCTGTTGTGAGGGAGGATGAACTCTCCAAGGGACAGCTGACAACACAGAGGCTCAGGGAGGAGGGACTTGGTAGGGTAGGGTGGAGCTCAGCCTGGAAGGGGTCTCCCGACCCTGCCACCCAGGTGCACTCTGCCTAGGCCGTGCCGCTGCTGCTCTGCCCATCAGACCCGAACCTCGCACTGGAGGTGGGGCTGGCCCCGGCAGGCAGCCCTCAGCGGCCCGTCGGCCAGTGGGCGTTTGCGGACTGTCAACTGCCAGCCGGGAGCCAGGGGCAGGTCGGGGGACCCAGTAGTGCATACAGGCGGCAAAACCCGACCCACAGAACGTCCACGAAGCAGATGGACACCGAAGACGACAGTCACCCTGGGGGAGCACAGGACGCTGCAGGTGCAGCACAGGGACCTGGCCGGGCCGACTCTGGGAAGTGGAGAGACTGAGACCAGCAGGAGGAGGGAGAGCTGACTGCCAGGGAGGACCGCTGCAGAGGTGAGGAGGTCAGGACGTGCCAAGGGCGTGGGCTTTTGAGCAGCGAGGAGAGGGGCAGGGAGGCCCGGGAGAGGCAGGGCCAGCCGAGCACAGGGCCTGGTTTCACGTTCGGTCTGGAGGTCTGGGCCCTGAGGGCAGTGGCAGCCACTGCAGGGGGGCGAGAGAGGCCTCAGAGATGCTCAGCAGGTGTCCCCAGGCAGGTGTCCCCAGGCAGGTGTCCCCAGGCAGGTGTCCCCAGCAGCCTGGGTGGGGGCACTGGCGTGGCCACGGGGAGACGTGAGGGTCAGGGGTCGCTGGTCAGGGAGGAGAGACAAGCTTGCTGACTGATGTGATGGTGTGGGACCGGGGCCTGGGAGAAGGAGAGACGACAAGGATTTCTGGCTTGAAAAACTGATGCACTCAAACCCAGGAATGGTGACATGGGGACTGTGGTTTCCTGACTACGAGACTGGGGCGCCCCACACAGCTGGCTCCTCGCTTTCGGCCAAGGACCGTGATTCCTATAATATTTTCCAAAGAAAACAAGCAGACTCACCCAGCTGTGGGTGAACCCACGATGCCCAGCTAACTCTTCTACTTTTTGTACAAATGGGGTTTTGCGATATTGCTCAGGCTGGTCTTGAATTCCTGGCCTCAAGCAATCATCCTGCCTCAGCCTCCCAAAGTGCTGGGATCATAATAGGCTTGAGCCACTGTGCCTGGGCCCTTATTTCTTTTACTATATTTTTTGAATTGTTTTTTATTGGTTTTCCTGGGGATTATAATTAACACTTTAATTAAAAATATTCCAGTTTGGATTAATAACTTACTTTGAATTGTATTCAAATATTTTACTTCAATATTGCTAATTCCTTTGTACTGTCATTGTAAAATTACTACTTTATACATTATAAGCCCATCAACACAGTTTTATCATTACTGTTTTATGCAGTTGTCTTTTATTTTTTTATTTTTTTTATTTTTATTTTTTTGACTTCTAGTAAGCCTTGAATGCAGTTGTCTTTTAAATCAGAATACAGGAAAGAGTTATAAATTAAAGTACATTTATACCATATTCCGTATTTACCTATGTAGTTACCTTCAGTGGCCCTTTATTTCTTTGTGTGGATTTAAATTATTGCCTAGTGCCCTTTCATTTTAGACTGAAGGACTTTCTTTTCTATTTCTTGTAGGGCAGGTCTGGTAGTGATCATTTCTCTTCATTTTTGTGGGTTTTTGGGGGATTGTCAAATGATCCTTTATTGAGACATTTCCCTTTGTACTTTTTTTTTTTTTTTTGAGACAGGGTCTCGCTTTGTTGCCCAGGCTAGAGTGAGTGCCGTGGCGTCAGCCTCGCTCACAGCAACCTCAAACTCCTGGGCTCAAGCGATCCTCCTGCCCCAGCCTCCCGAGTAGCTGGGACTACAGACATGTGCCACCATGCCCGGCTAATGTTTTCTCTCTTTATATATATATTAGTCGGCCAATTAATTTTTTTTCTATTTATAGTAGAGACGGGGTCTGGCTCTTGCTCAGGCTGGTTTCGAACTCCTGACCTTGAGCAATCTGCCAGCCTCGGCCTCCCAGAGTGCCAGGATTACAGGCGTGAGCCACTGCCCGCGGCCCCCCTTTGTACTTTTTACCTAGCTGGGCATCCGCTGCGCCACTGGTGATGTCATCTATGATGTCATGGGGGTGGCGGCCATCAACATTGCAGCCCATAGACTGGGCAGTCCCCAGGATCTCTTTCATGGTTCCAGAGAGTTCTCTGGCTAAAGATCGGGTGCCGCATCTGTCTGGCAATGTTGAAAATCTCATCAAAAGTGTCAATGCCATCGTGTTTAATGTTTTTCTGTTTCTTTCTGTCTCTTGGTGGTTCCTTGAGGGCTGTGACGATCAGGGCAGAGGCAGAAGGTGCCGCCTCCGTCTGGGTCTGTCTGTTCTGCATAGTTAGTTTCACTGTAATCCTCAGACCGTTCCAGTCACCAGTTGCCTTGGAGGTGTCATCACCAAGTTTTTTTTTTTTTTTTTGAGACAGAGTCTGGCTTTGTCGCCCAGGCTAGAGTGAGTGCCGTGGCGTCAGCCTGGCTCACAGCAACCTCAAACTCCTGGGCTCAGGCAATCCTCCTGCCTCAGCCTCCCGAGTAGCTGGGACTATAGGCATGCGCCACCATGCCCGGCTCATTTTTTCTATGTGTATTAGTTGGCTAATTTCTTTCTATTTATAGTAGAGACGGGGTCTGGCTCTTGCTCAGGCTGGTCTCGAACTCCTGACCTCGAGCGATCCGCCCGCCTCGGCCTCCCAGAGTGCTAGGATGACAGGCGTGAGCCACCGTGCCCGGCCCAACGTTTTTTGGAGATAGACTCAGGAAGGCGGGCTTGGGAACCCGGGCAGACGTGGCACCAACTTCACCGCCAGTGCACTTCAGGTATGCGTCTTTGACCTCGCGGGGGTCGAACTTAGGCGGCAGGGTGGAGGCGGCTTGTGTTGGATGAACCCAGACTCAGGACGACCAAAGAAAGTTGCACCTTGGCCTCTTCTGAGCCGAAAACTGAAGAAAGCTCTTCACTTTTATATGAAAATCTCTTAACTTATCCTCCATTTTTTCAAAGATAGTTTTGCTGGGTATAGATTTCTTTGTTGACAGTTTTTTCCCCCCCTTTCATCATTTCTCATGAGAAACCACCTGTTGATCTTATTGAGGGTCCCTTTTCTGTGATAGGGCATTTTTCTCTTGCTGCATTCCAGACTGCTTTCGGCAGTGGCACTATGATGTGCTTAGGTGTGTATCTCTTTAGGTTTGTCACGCTTGGCTGGGTGCTGTGGCTAACACTTGTAATCCCAGCGCTTTGGGAGGCTGAGAGGGGAGGATCACTTGAGGCCAGGAATTTGAGACCAGTCTGGGCAAAAAAGCAAGACCTTGTCTCTACAAAAAAAAAAAATGTTTATCCAGCTAAGGCTGGCAGCTCTGACGACGAGGTGAGTACCTCGGTCTGTCTCTGCAGGGCTAGCACAGGCCTCAGCCAGTCGCCACGTGACAGACAACTTCGCCCTGGCGTCTTCCTGCCTCCCACCGCTTTATTCTTCATCTGCCCACCAGGCCCCCTTTCTCGCTCCTCCTTCCCCGTCAATGAGCACTTGCGGGCCACCTCCCGAGTGCCTGGCGTCCGTTCCAGCCCAGCGCGGGGGCAGCTCTGGGCTTCCCCAGCTAAGAGACCGGCGGGGGACAGAGACACACACTGGCTGCGGGACCGCGAGGCGCTCTGCAGGTGAAGGCGCCCATCTGGGGCTAGGGAGGCCCCGCCCTGCAGGCAGGGGACACCCGTCTCTGCCCGTCCGCAGCCGCGGCAGGAAGGCCTCCTGGGCAGACACAGCCTCCCTCCCGGCGACACAGGCAAAGGCCGCTTTGTACCAGGGACGGTGCCAGAGCCAGACCGTGCCTGTGGGTGAGACTACCTGGAAATAAACGCCGGGCCCAGCCAAGCCCGTCGGGGAGGACGTCAGCTCTTGCTGCAGTCCGACGGGTACTGCAGAGGAAAGGACGCCGAGCGGGAGGAGGTGCAGCCTTGGACAAGACACTTCTCCGCCTGGAGCCTCAGTTTTCTCATCCGCAAAATGGGAACGATAACACAGTGTCATCCTGGAGTGCTCTGAGGGTCCCGTGAGATGAAGACATGGGAGGCCCGGGGGGCCTTGTCTTTCTCCGACGTTTCAGACTGTTGTGAGCTGGAGTCAGAATTCCACTAGGCGTGTGAGTAAGCTGAGCGATGTCATGCTCTGCCCTGCGACAAGTGGCTGCGTATTCCTCATCTCCTTCCACAAAGCGTGCCCGAAGCTCGCAATAAAAGGCAATGGAGCCTCTCCCAAGGGTAGAAAGGAAGCGCCGAGTAACGGAGCGAGCGTCTTGAGGGGTTGCCGGGGCCCCGTGCAGGCCCTAGACATTCATTCATTCATTCATTCATTCAGTCACCGTGCTGCGAGTTTACACGCCCTGGGCCTGTTCTGTGCTGGGGGTGGGGTGACACCCTCAGCTGAAAGGGTTAGAGGTTTTATGGTGACGACACTTGAGCTGGACTTGAAGGACAAAGAGTCATGAACTTGGGTCAAAGTCCAAGAGGGAGGCCAGGCTCGGTGGCTCACGCCTGTCATCCCAGCACTCTGGGAGGCCGAGGCGGGCGGATTGCTTGAGGTCAGGAGTTTGAAACCAGCCTGAGCAAGAGCGAGACCCCGTCTCTACTATAAATAGAAAGAAATTAATTGGCCAACTAATATATATAGAAAAAAAAATTAGCCGGGCGTGGTGGCGCATGCCTGTAGTCCCAGCTACTCAGGAGGCTGAGGCAGGAGGATCGCTTGAGCCCAGGAGGTTGAGGTTGCTGTGAGCGAGGCTGACGCCACGGCACTCACTCTAGCCTGGGCAACAAAGTGAGACTCTGTCTCAAAAAAAAAAAAAAAAAAAAAAATCCAGGAGGGAGGCAGTGGCAGGGAGGATGCAGAGGGAAGGCTCCGAGGGTAGAGGCCCAGGACACTTGCAGTGGGGCTGGATGTGGGGGATGTGGGGTGGGGGTGGGGGCTGCTGGAGGCTGTGGCAGGAGGACTCGGGGCCGGGGTCCAAGCTGCACAGAGGAGGCAGCTTGACTCGGGGTCCCCCTGGCAGGGGAGCAGGTGACCGAACACTTCTTCCCCGAGACTCGGAGGCTGCAGAAGAGCAGGCTGGGGGCGCCGGCCTGGGGCGAGGGGACGGTGTCCACCCCCCAGAGGAGAGGACCTGGCTGGAGGCGGGGGGTGGGGGCGTTGTCAGCATCCTGGGGCAGCTGAGGCCACAGCAGTGGCAGGTTGTGGGGGGAGAGGAGATCTGTGCAGCAGGCGGTGGGGGCCCGGGGGAAGGGCGCAGAAGCAGGGGTGGGGTGAGGGAGGAGAGTCGGGGCAGCGGCCCCCAGTGAGCGTCAAGAGAGATGAAGGGACAGGAAAGCGTCCGCCGGTGTTGCCATCAGGGGTCAGGGGTCAGGGGCGACCGTGGCCGGGACAGCGCAGAGGGGCTGTGGACGGGGGAAGGTTCGTGGAAGGGGCGGCTCAGTGCCGCCCAGGGAAGAGTCTGGTGCCGTGGCCAGGGGCAGAGCACGGGTGGCGGTGAGTCCACGCTGGGTGACGATTGAGGATGGCAGGAGGGAAGGGCGGCGGGGACAGGTGCGTCTGGGGGTGTGTCTAAAGCAGGTGGAGGAGCCTCCTCCTGGTGGCCCTGCGGAGGGCAGGACGGGCCGGGTCTGGGGGCGTGGGGACACCCAGGGACACCGTCGTGCCACGTGGAAGGACCCAAGGAAGCGGTGTGGCTGGCGGCTCGATCGCCTCCCGCCCCCGGGGAGGGGAGGCCGCCGCAGAGGGCTGGCCGGGGACCGCGGCGTCCGAGGCCGACAGTGAGACGGGGGCCGAGGGCGGGAGCGGCAGTCCTGGGACTGCAGGCGCCAGGAAGCCGAGGGGAGCAGCACTGGGCGCGTGGCCTCTGGAAACGGGGCTGGGATCAGGAGGGAGGGGAGGCCGGGAGGGGAGGCCGGGCCAGGGCCGCAGGCTGTGACCGAGGGTGGGGAGCAGGTGTCGGGGCCCCGCCCAGCGACTTCCAAGGCTGGGCCAGGAACGGGGAAGTCCGGGACTCACCGGGGTCGCCTCTTTTCCCAGGCTTTCCTCGACGTCCGGGGGGCCCTAAAGAGGAAGAGAGGGCGGATCCGTTGAGAAGGGAAGTCAGTGGGCTCAGCAGGGCCCGTGGGTGCCGCTCCCCCTGCACGGGCTCACCCAGCCCCCTCCCCACCACAACCAGACGCTTTCTGGGAGCAGCTGGCCTGGGGGAGACGCGTGGAGCACCCCCTTCCTCCTGTCCCTCCAAGCTCCCCACCCCTCGCGGCGGCTGCGTTCCTCACCCCCACACGCCACCTGTCATCTGTGTCGTGGACCCTGGACTTGGAACTCGGCTCCTGGGACGGGAGACGGTGCCCTCCCAGGGCAAGGCACACGCTCCGGCAGGGCCCGGCACGCTTCCAGTCCCGCATCCCGGGAACTCTTGAGCCGGCGTGACCAGTGGGCCTGGTTCGCCCAGGCCTGAGAGGTTCCCTGGGGCTCTCGGGGCAGAAGCTGGGCCCCTCTGAGGCCTGTGGTGGCCACTCCGGCCACTCGGTGCAGCCCTGCGTGGGGACCACAGCCTGGGAGGAGCGGGGGGCTGACGGGAAAGACTCTGGGGTCCAGAGGGGCAGCCCCGGGTGCCAGCCTTGAGGCCACCAGGCCCTGCCTGCTCAGTTTCCCTGCGCCAGGGACATTAGACAATACCTTCCCAACCTCTCTTCCCCCAGGCCCTGGCAACCACCATTCTATTTTCTATTTCTAAAGTTTGATTACTTTGAAAACCCCATACTAGTGGAATCATGCAGTGTTTGTCTTTTTGTGACTGGTTTATTTCACTTGGCTTAACGTCTTCAAGGTCCATCCCATACTGTAGCATGTGTCAGGATTTCTTTCCTTTTCAAGACTGAATAATATTCCATTGCATGTATAGATCCCATCAGATTGCTTTTGAAAAATGGTGGTAAAATATATACACAAAACAAAAAAAAATTGTGCGTTCGGCGGCATTAAGTATATTCACAAGAAGCGCACGTGCGACCGTCACCTCCGTCCAGTTCCGAAGGTTTCTTACCACCCCAAACAGAAACTCCGTTGTCAATGCGTCCATTAAGCCTGGGCACAGTGACCAGCTGTGGGCTGGTCTGCAGAGCTCTGCTCCGCCACCCCCGTCCGTCGGAAGGTGCAAGTGACGCTTCGTCTGCATCTGCAGCCTGAGCTCTGCCTCCCCCTGACCAACTCTGCGGACAAACTGTCTTCCGTGAAACCGGTCCCTGGGGCCAGAGAGCTGGGGACTGCCGCGCTAAGCAATACCCACCACCCCAGCCCACCCCCAGTCCGAGGTAACGCCTCTTCTATTTTCTGCAAATTTGCCTCTTCTAGGTATCTCACACGCGTGGAATCACGCAGTATTTGTCGTTTCCACTGGCTTCTTTCACTTAGCATGATGTCTTCCAGGTTCCTCCGGGCTTCGGGAGTGGGCGAGCCCTCCATTCTTTTCCTGGCTCCTCCGCGGCGGCATGGACAGACCGCGTTGTGTTTGTCCACCCTCCTGGTGCAGGCGCCTGGCCTGTCCCCACCTCTTGCTTGCTAAGGCTGCAGTGGACGCCGGTGGACACGCGTCTGTCTGAGCCTCTGCTCCCGGCCCTTCGGGGTGTGCATCTAGGACCAGGATTGCTGGGTCATGGTCTGTGGTTAGCAGGGCAGTACTTTTTCTTTCTAGCAGAAAAGAGATTTTGGCCAACGGTGGCTGCTGAGCGCACGTCTGTGGTCCTGCGCTCGTGTCTGCCCCAGAGGTATTTCACTGACTCTGTGGCCAGCGACCCCCGCTCTGACCCCAGCCCCGCCACGGCCCCGCTCTGTGGTGTCCCTGGGAGCTGCCTGGCTGTCTCCCATCTGTGCAGAGGCCACAGTCTGGTCAGAGACCCCCAGGTGCCTCCGGACACAAGCGGCTCCGTTTTCCTGTGCCGCTCTGGGGAGGGCTGGGCTGACGCTGAAGGGCGCTTCCGGGCCAGGGCGGTGGGGACACTGCCCAGAGAGCTGGGGGCCCGCCGTGGAGAGCAGTGGCTTCGTCCTGCAGTCCCAGGTCCTGCCTACAGCTCGAGCTCGGGCTCCTGCACTAGGGAGGCGACACGGACACCCCGGCTGCTCCCTGGAAAGGCGTTCTTGCAGGGGCAGGGCGCTGGAGCACCGCGGGAATCCCGGAATGGCTTCCGCCTGTGGACCTTCCGTGTGCGGTGCCCTGTGCTGGGCTCGTCTGGGGTCTGCTCGCCTGATCGCTGGTGGCCCTGCCAGGGGGGTGGCAGGAACCCTCCTTTGCAGATGGAGCACAAGAGGCTCACAGAGAAGGGGCTTGTCCCAAGACACACAGCTGGTGTGTGGCAGAGCTGGGGCTCAGACCCAGCTGTGTCCACTTCCAAAGAAGTTGCCTTTTCTTTCCTCTTTCTTTTTTTTTTTTTTTTTTTTGAGACAGAGTCTCACTTTGTTGCCCAGGCTAGAGTGAGTGCCGTGGCGTCAGCCTAGCTCACAGCAACCTCAGACTCCTGGGCTCGAGTGATCCTTCTGCCTCAGCCTCCCGAGTAGCTGGGACTACAGGCATGCGCCACCATGCCCGGCTAATTTTTTATATATATATCAGTTGGCCAATTAATTTCTTTCTATTTATAGTAGAGATGGGGTCTTGCTCTTGCTCAGGCTGGTTTTGAACTCCTGACCTTGAGCAATCCGCCCGCCTCGGCCTCCCAAGAGCTAGGATTACAGGCGTGAGCCACCGCGCCCGGCCTCTTTCCTCTTTCTTTAAGAAAAAGAAATGGAACAGTCTGGGGTCTCCCGATCTATTCGGAAGCCATCGTCCGGTCAGACAGACCCGGGCAGCCCAGACACCAAAGCCCTCCCTTCCAAGACCGTGTGCGGCAGGAGGGCCGGGGCTACTCCGTCAAGTGCCGGGGTGCCCGTCTCCACCCCCGGTTTCGGGGTCGGGGGGGGTGGGCTAGAGGGTCTGCACGTTTAGCAAGTTCCCACGACACGCTGCTGCTGCAGGTCAGGGAAACACTTTGAAAGCCACTTGGTGTTTTTTTTAATTTTCTGTTTAAATACTATTTTCTTTCTTACAAAATACTTCGAGCCTCCTGCACTTTCCCACCGTGCCACGGTGTCTTTCCCGTGCTCAGAGAGTCAGGCTGTGAGCCTGCAAAAAGCCCAGGGACACCAGCTCTGGGCTCCCAACCCGCCGGTGGCCATTTCTACCCGCACTGCCGCCGCGGCGCACGCTTCCTGAGCCGTGACCAGTGCTGTTCTGAGTGCTGTCCCGGAAATCGCTCGTGTCATTTCCACGGCTGCCCTCCCGGGCGGCAAGCCAGCGCAGCTCGCTCTGCCAAGGAGGAAACAGCACCCAGAGGGCGCGTCCCTGGCCGGAGGCCACCAAGCATGCACAAGGCTCGGCCGCCCTGCTGTCCGGCCCCAGGATTAGACAAGAGCACAGAAGCTCCTCATCAATTCTGGTGGCAGCTGGCGAATGGCCTGAGCCAGGGTCCTCTCCCACCCGACCCCCAGTCTGGGAGTCCCCGGTCTGCCATCACCCTCTGCCCGCAGCTCGGTGGGGACGTGCGTGGCTGCCACACCTTCCAATGCGAACGGCGGCACAGCTGCCACTCTGCAGCGCTGTCCGCGGGCCGGCCCTGCTGGGCACTTAGGTGCGCTGACCGCGAGCCTCCCAACGGCCCCACGAAGCACGCACTAATATCACCCCCATTTTTACAGGAGGGGATTGCAACATGCTCAATGCCCCACAGCAAGGGGAAGAACCACACGCCCCCGTGTCCCCTCCAGGTCCAGCACTGACACCTCTCCGGGGGTCCAGGGTCACCGCCTCCCCCCTGGCCTCCTCCCTTTCGTTCTCCACCCTATGGGTCGGGCGTCTTTCCAGGCCACGAATGGGATCACGCTGCTTCCCTTTAAAGGCGTCCGAGGGTCCCCTGCTGTCCTCAGAGTGCACCCCCCCCCACCCCGCCCCGGGCAAGGCTGGTCCAGCCTTCCCTCTCCGGCCCGCTCTGCCCACCCCTCCTTGCCCTCCCTGAGTCACTCCTGGCCCACCTTTTGCCAAAACACCTGGCTGGGACACGCCACAGCCCCTGAGCTGTGCTACTTATGTCTCCAACCTCCTTTCTCCCATTTCTTTTTTTTTTTTTTTGAGACAGAGTCTCACTTTGCTGCCCAGGCTAGAGTGAGTGCCGTGGCGCCAGCCTAGCTCACAGCAACCTCAAACTCGCCTTTCTCCCATTTCTTGCCAGGAACGCTCCTATTCATCCTATAAGACCCAGCTAAGACACGGTGCCTTCCTGGCTGCTCACTCTGGCTTCAGGGGTATCTGCTTGCTGCAGGAGTTCCAGCACCAGGATGGCGCTGCCTGCCCGTCTGTCTCCCTGCTAGACCCTAGATCCCTGCACAAAGCAGGGATCCCACTGGATTTGCCGTGGTCCTCTGAGTGGCCCAGGCCCAGGCAGAAGCTAGCTAACCTGCACCCAGGTGGACGGCCACCAGTGGCCACGCAAAGAGGCTCTGGATTCCAGAGGCCCAGCAGCAGCTCGGGTCCCGGTCTGACCTCTGCGGACCGTTAGGAAAGGAGAGCCTGTGACCTCTTTTCCCCTCCCCTGTTTGCACCTGTGCTGCCCGCTGCGTCTCGGCGGGAAATGCCCGCTCATGAACCCGGGCACGCCGCCAGGCTCCTTCCGGCCCAGGCTGCTGGAAACCACTTGAGTGGGTCAAGCCCCAGTGAACTGCTCTCCGCCGCTCCCCGGGGAGAGCCCCGAGCCCCCAGGTAATCAGCCGCATGTGTGCAGGAGACAGGCCCATTTCCCCCGAGGATTTATGAGCAGGGGAACATGCTCGCTGACCTCCCTCTCAGGAGGGGCCTCTCTCTGGTATCCTCGCCGAATATTCCATCCACAGCAGAGTACATGTGCTCGCAGTCAGCCCGACACCGTCACGCGCATGTGTTTCTCGTCTCCTACGCATTTGAGCTCGCCCCGGAATGCACCGAACGCCCCGCACAGCTCCGAGGGGGCACTCACAACTCACCCCCCGTGGGCCCC